ACCACTACCACTACGACGACTACTTCTACCTCTACTACTTCTACTAGTTTCTCGGCTAGAGCTCACGTTTGCCCTCATAACCCTCCAACCGCTCAGACCTTTCTCCGCACCAAAGCATCGACCCCCCGCACGCTGTCCCCAGCCCATCCATCGGCAACCAAGTTAGACACATGCTTCCGCATTCCGTCATCTCATCACACCCTCAAGCGAGGTCTGAAATTCAAATGGGTGTGGTCAGAGTACAGCTGCATGCCGCAGCACCTTGACAAGAAAAGCCATACGCTCCTTCCAATTCGCCAGCAGTCCCGGGCTGCAGTTGGTGGGTTGAGGGTATGGTTTGGGGCTTGGGAGGTTGCGTTTACTGATCTCATCGTGGTCCACATCGACAACCTGTCTTGATAATTCAGATCCTGAAGGATCCTCATCGCGCACGGTCAGATAGTTGGAGGCTTGCAAATCCGATGCCAACTTTCCGAAGATTTAGGAGATTGAAGCAACTCCGAAAAAGCAAAACTCGTCGGTTAGACCAGGGTGCTCTCTGTTTACCGAGTGGCCGCAAAGGTCAATGCCATGGGGATGTGCGAGTTGAAGGGACTGACAAGCCTTGCACCACCAATGTGATCCGTCGGAGGCAGAACAGCATCCAACACCAGTGCGCCATTAACTCCATCGTGGGTGCTTCGGCATTTGTTGTTTGGATTGTTCAGGGTTTACGGTTTGGGGCTTCGGGGTTTCAGTCAATATCACCGGGAGCCCAGAGGCCAAAAGCGTTTGTGCTTGTTTATTTGGGGGCAGCAGAGGTTTCTAGTCCAGGACGGAAGCCGCTAGTGAAACCAAAACGAGCATCTTTGCTAGATGTTGTAAAAAAGGTTGGCCTAGCACCGGAGCTTTTCTTAACGTTGAGGGTTTGGGGGGGTTCTGGTTTGAAGGGCCCGGGTTAAGTGCAAGCTGTTTTTGGTCTTCATAGCGAATCATGGCATGGGACCTCAGGGCGCGAAACTTTCTCTTTGAGGGGTGTCTTGTCATTGCTCTCAGGCCTACGGTTTTCGTAAGCAGTTCGGTAGCAGCGCATTCGCATGAGTCGAAGGCAGCAATACTCCTCGGGGTTTCGGCTGGTGCAGGCAAGGAGCCAACTGAATCCGGCACATGCTGCTGCGCAAGCACACACGCACGAGGACACGCACACACACACACACACAAACACAAACATAGAGAGAGAGAGAGACACGAACACCCTACACACTTTTGTGCGAGACAAGTCCGCTTGAAACCGCTTAGAAAGGCACCCAGTATTGTTGTCATGCAGACGTTGTGCACGACGACGCTTCAACTCAAGTGCTTTAGTCACCCTAAACCCTGCACCCATGAAGTCTCAAACTTCTGTCCGGGGGCCTTTCCAACAATATATACCCGTGCCACCGATTCAAGAGCACCACTCCGCAAGTGTTTCAATTTCCAGCTTGTAGGCTTCAGGCTGGGTGGGCCTCTTGCTGCAAAATGCGAGACACCCCCTAAACCCTAAACCCTAAACCCTCTTCCAGTCTTGATTCTCTTCATACTGCCTAAGCTTTGTTTCGTACTTCGGACCGAAACCTCCCAAACTCCAAAAACATTGGTCCCAGACCGATCGTCGAGACGGAGACATGTATCAGATTATATATGTTGTGTACCACCTTCTGAGGCTACTGCTCCTGCTTCAAGGCTATGTTAGTGGTCGAGTCACGCAAAGGCTGCGGGACGTCTGGCGAAACGTGACAGAGAGTTCGGGGTTTGGGATGTTGCCGTAGCAAACTCAGGCGTAATATATACAGGGGCCTGAATAATTACCAATACTATTTTGAGGGTTCCTTTTTATACCTATAGTAGAATGGGCCCCAAAACCCTATTCTAAATTATTCAGGCCCCTTCATTATGTATAAACGTTTATCCCTCTAAGCTTTGCAACTTAGGGGCTGAGTAGGTAACCTGTAACCTTTTGGGGCTTATAAACCTTGCTATACTTCAAAAGGTTATCCATTTTTGGGCTAGGGTACTCAGCCCCTAAGACAAGCCTAAACACAATAAACCAGCAACCCCCAAATCCTTCAGCACTATCTACTGCGGTCCTTTAGAAGTGCTCTGCCAGATCTGTCTTGACTAGACCATTTAGGGTTTAGGGTTTTTTGAAGGCTCATGTGGGAAACAAGAGTAGAGTTGCAGCAACTAGGGCCGGGAGTGTGGGGTCTTCGCTCGCTTGTGTTAACTGTTACCGGTGTTTAGGGTTTAGGGTAGCCAGTATATAGACTTATATATATATATATATATATATATGTCTACCCTAAGGGTCCATGTACCCAAGTAGTATAGACTTTTGGCCTTCAAGTAGTCTCTATTTAGGTACCTAAGGGCCGAAGTGTATACTATTTGGGGCACATGGACCCTTAGGGCAACCCTAAACCCTAGACCCCGAAACCTAGAAGCCGACCAGTTAGCCCCACATTCCCCCAAATCCCTCAGCCCTTGAGCCTGCGGCGCTCGGGTTTAGGGAAACCCTCAGGGTCCATGCCATGTACCCAAGTGGTATATACTTTGGCCCCAAAGTACCTAAATAGGGACTATTTTGAGGCCAAAGTATACACTATTTGGGTACATGGACCCTTTAGGGAAAGAGGGGGCTAGCTCGGGTTTTGGGGGAACCTTGAGCCTTTAGCTAGTCACAGACCCTATAAAGCCTTTCGCCCATAGGCTCCATGGTAGTTCCTTTTTGGAGAGTACCTTATAGGATTCTAAATATAAACCACAAAAAGGAACTATAGTGGAGCCTTTTACAGAAACTGCAAGATAGCCCAAGGCTGGTTCTAATCATTAGGGCCCCTATACTAAAGGCCCTATAGTGACCAGTATAGTTCCCTGTTTTTCAACCCCCTCAAAAAGGAACCCCCTATACTAAACCCCTAAGCCCTAAAACCCCAACACCCCAACCCTAAAACCCTAAACCCTAAAACCCTAACCCCCAAAACCCCTGAACCCTAAACATCACGAATCCTAAACCCCTAAAGCCTAAAACCCTAAAAACCCTAAACCCTAGGCCGCTACATGGGTGGTTGTCAAAATTATGGTCCCTTTTTGGGTCCTTATGACAAATACGGCACCTAATATTTAGGGTACCCCAACAGGGACCCTAATTTTGACAACCCTAAACCCTAAACCCTAAACTCTAAACTCTAAACTCTAAACTCTAAACCCTAAAACCTTAACCACCTACATGAACCCTGAAGCCTGCCAGGCGCCGAGCAGCACAGCTTCTCCAGGTCTTTCGCTTCCTGGAGTCTCCTGGAGAGCTCTTTGGGCAAAAGAGTTTAGGGTTTTAAGGTTTTAGGGTTTCTGGAGGTTTAGGGTTTTTTGGGGGTTTAGGGTTTAGGGTTTAGAGCGGATTGGGCTTTAGGGTTTCCGGGGGTTTAGGG